TCCTGTTTGTGTTTTTGTCAATGAACCAAACCAAGCCAAACAGTCGTCAGCCTGGACAAAGGTGACAAGTGCAGCATGGGCCTCAAGTGGCATGCACTGTTGAGGTGCCACCAGTTCTGCCGACAAACAAATATATATAAGTGTCGAGGAGAAGGCCAGAAATGTTCATTTGTGATTACATGGGGGAGAGTGTGCGCGTGTGTAGGACAAGCATTGGTTCAAGTTTGGTAAATATTTTCTGTATATGTGGACGCTTTGATTCAATTTTTTACAAACTGAAGCAAAATTAGTTTTGTTTTAATTTTCTGCCTACTAGAGCTGCAAGCAATTGACTGACTTCATATGCACATAGTTTAGTTAACTCAATGACTCAACTTGCAAAATGTTTAACCCAACAACTAGACCTGCAGGCAGTTTAATGTTCACTCCTTTCTAGACCTGCGGGTAGTTCAATGCAAACTCCTTTCTAGACCTGTGGGTAGTTTAATGTTAACTCCTTTCTAAACATGCGGGTAGTTTAATGCTAACACCTTTCTAGACCTGCAGGCAGTTTAATGTTAATTCCTTTCTAAACCTGCAGGTAGTTTAATGTTAACTCCTTTCTAAACCTGCAGGCAGTTTAATGTTAACTCCTTTCTAGACCTGCAGGCAGTTTAATGTTCACTCCTTTCTAAACCTGCAGGTAGTTTAATGTTAACTCCTTTCTAAACCTACGGGTAGTTTAATGTTAACTCCTTTCTAAACCTGCAGGTAGTTTAATGCTAACTCCTTTCTAGACCTGCAGGTAGTTTAATGTTAACTCCTTTCTAAACCTGCAGGTAGTTTAATGTTAACTCCTTTCTAAACCTGCGGGTAGTTTAATGTTAACTCCTTTCTAAACCTGCGGATAGTTTAATGTTAACTCCTTTCTAAACCTGCGGATAGTTTAATGTTAACTCCTTTCCAGAAATGTGGGTAGTTTAATTTTAACTCCTTTCTAAACCTGCGGGTAGTTAAATGTTTGCTCCTTTCAAGACCTGCAGGTAGTTTACATTTGACTAACTGAACAGAACTGGTTGTAGTTTACAGTTATTTCACTGACTAGATCTGCAGGCAGTTTATAGTTAGTTCACTGACTAGACCTGCAGGCAGTTTATAGTTGGTTCACTGACCAGACCTGCAGGCAGTTTATAGTTAGTTCACTGACCAGATTTGCAGGCAGTTTATAGTTGGTTCACTGTCCAGACCTGCAGGCAGTTTATAGTTAGTTCAATGACTAGACCTGCAGGCAGTTTATAGTTAGTTCAATGACTAGACCTGCAGGCAGTTTATAGTTAGTTCACTGACTAGATCTGCAGGCAGTTTATAGTTAGTTCACTGACCAGACCTGCAGGCAGTTTATAGTTAGTTCAATGACCAGATCTGCAGGCAGTTTATAGTTGGTTCACTGACTAGATCTGCAGGCAGTTTATAGTTAGTTCACTGACTAGATCTGCAGGCAGTTTATAGTTAGTTCACTGACTAGATCTGCAGGCAGTTTATAGTTAGTTCACTGACTAGATCTGCAGGCAGTTTATAGTTGGTTCACTAACTAGATCTGCAGGCAGTTTATGGTTGGTTCACTGACCAGACCTGCAGGCAGTTTATAGTTAGTTCACTGACCAGACCTGCAGGCAGTTTATAGTTAGTTCACTGACCAGATCTGCAGGCAGTTTATAGTTGGTTCACTGTCCAGACCTGCAGGCAGTTTATAGTTAGTTCACTCACTAGATCTGCAGGCAGTTTATAGTTAGTTCACTAACTAGATCTGCAGACAGTTTATAGTTAGTTCACTGACCAGACCTGCAGGCAGTTTATAGTTAGTTCACTGACTAGATCTGCAGGCAGTTTATAGTTAGTTCACTGACTAGATCTGCAGGCAGTTTATAGTTAGTTCACTGACTAGATCTGCAGGCAGTTTATAGTTAGTTCACTGACTAGATCTGCAGGCAGTTTATAGTTAGTTCACTAACTAGATCTGCAGGCAGTTTATAGTTGGTTCACTAACTAGATCTGCAGGCAGTTTATAGTTGGTTCACTGACAAGACCTGCAGGCTGTTTATAGTTGGTTCACTGACAAGACCTGCAGGCTGTTTATAGTTGGTTCACTAACTAGATCTGCAGGCAGTTTATAGTTGGTTCACTAACTAGATCTGTAGGCAGTTTATAGTTGGTTCACTAACTAGATCTGCAGGCAGTTTATGGTTGGTTCACTGACCAGACCTGCAGGCAGTTTATAGTTAGTTCACTGACCAGACCTGCAGGCAGTTTATAGTTAGTTCACTGACCAGATCTGCAGGCAGTTTATAGTTGGTTCACTGTCCAGACCTGCAGGCAGTTTATAGTTAGTTCACTCACTAGATCTGCAGGCAGTTTATAGTTAGTTCACTAACTAGATCTGCAGACAGTTTATAGTTAGTTCACTGACCAGACCTGCAGGCAGTTTATAGTTAGTTCACTGACTAGATCTGCAGGCGGTTTATAGTTAGTTCACTGACTAGATCTGCAGGCAGTTTATAGTTAGTTCACTGACTAGATCTGCAGGCAGTTTATAGTTGGTTCACTAACTAGATCTGCAGGCAGTTTATAGTTGGTTCACTGACAAGACCTGCAGGCTGTTTATAGTTGGTTCACAGACTAGATCTGCAGGCAATTTATAGTTGGTTCACTGACTAGACCTGCAGGTAGTTTATAGTTGGTTCACTACCAGACCTGCAGGCAGTTTATAATTAGTTTAATCAGACCTGCAGGCAGTTTATAATTAGTTTAATCAGACCTGCAGGCAGTTTATAATTAGTTTAATTAGACCTGCAGGTAGTTTATAGTTCACTCACTGAATAGACCTCTCTATAGCACAAAGCCTGGGCAGTATTGTAGAGACAATGGGTTGCACAAACAGCACAATTCTCGCTCTCTGTCTAGTTTGTAAACTCCACAGGAAAGTTAATACCGGTAGTTATGAAACAAAGCATGCTGCAAAAACTGCTTGACCAAAAGAGCTGTACTCTGAACGCTTGTCGAGTTTCTCTTCTAGCCTAGCTCCTAACAAGGGATAAGAGGCTGCCCTGCAAAAACACTAAGTTTGCAGGTTCCTCAGCAATGTTGTTTCATTTTTTTAAAGATTCCATTCGCTGTCTCTTCAAGTTTTATTTGTATGTATGGAGTTATTAGCTAATGCTCACGTTTTGTTGTTCAATGCTTTATTCAGATGGAGTTTGTGGGATCAAGCTACATGGGACAGATTTAAAGTGGACATAGCACCAGCACCAAAATCCAACCCAGAAGTCTCCTGACAGGAACCGATCATGGACAAAACAATGTTTTTACTGCTTGCCATGGTTGCCACCCATGTGCTGATACAGTCAAGCATAACATGTCCTCAACAGTGTTATTGTTCAGAGACTCGTGTAGAATGTTCTAGAAGGCAGATACAAGTTATTCCCGAGGGCATACCTGAAAATGTTGTAAATCTTGATCTCCGTGACAATTTAATTACCAATGTGGATGCTGGAAAACTAATGCAATTACAGAGCCTTGAAACGCTTTCGCTGCAGATGAACCGTCTCAGTAAACTCAAATCCTATTCTTTTGTGAACCTCACAAGGTTGACGAGGCTTCACATGGCAAACAATGAGATTGAGACCATTGAGGAGAATGCTTTTCAGGGTCTTCCATCTTTGAAAGATCTAGACCTAACAGGCAATAAACTGTCCGACATTACAGGAAAATTCCATATTGCCCGTCTGCAGCGATTAATTCTGAGCCATAATCAAATCTCGGCTCTGCAAGACGATACGCTGAACAGTGTCCGAAGCCTGCATTATCTACTTCTCTCAAACAATAAAATCTCTTATATCTCAAAATCAGCCCTGGATGGAATGAAAGATCTCACCTACCTGGCTCTTAACGGAAACCCAATTATCAATGTTGACAGCCTTTTTGGAGGCGTGCAATTATTGTCTTACCTGGATGTTTCTGCTTGTCATTTAACACACATACCCAAAGGTCTTCCGTGGCCACTGCGATATCTGAAAATTTCTGACAACAACTTAACCATGATTCAAGCTCAGGATTTGCACAACACCCGGTACCTGGCACATCTAATTGCCGACAATAACCAAATTCAGACCATTCAGGATGGGGCTCTGTTGTATACACCATATCTAACACAGGTGAATGTCAACTACAACAAAATGAAATGGCTACCACAAATTCCTAATCATATTGAAACTTTAAATGCAGATAACAATGAAATCCTGCTACTGCATCAATCTACATTCGCTCATGAATCCTCCATGAAGATACTATCTCTCGGAAACAACAACATAAGTGAAATTCCGCCGAACACATTCTCTCGGCTTTCAAACCTGAATGAACTCAATTTAGGGCATAACAACATAAAGCATTTACAGAACATGTCTTTTGCAGGGCCACGCCAGCTGACCACTCTCAATCTTGAATTTAATCCGCTAGAAAAAATAGATTACCGAGCATTTGGGGGACTGCAAAAACTGGAAAAGCTTAACTTATCAAATATTAACAGCAACCAAATTGCTATTGAGGGAGCAATATTTCAGGATGCGCCCTCACTGGCCAGTCTTTATTTACAAGGCAGCCCTTTGATAATAAACAATATTCTGAACAGCTGGGGTCTTCTGCGCTCTTTACGAAATATTCAGCATCTGTACCTGACCAATGGCAGTTTAGAAACACTATCCATGGATGTTAAACAATTTCTTCCACATCTGAAATCCATCCATCTTTCTGACAATCCATGGCACTGTGACAGGGAGTTGGTTGGACTTCGTAATTGGATGAATGAAGCTCCAGAGCTGTTTGCAGACTCCAGTGTTAAATGTGCATCTCCTGAGCATCTTCAGGGCAGAGCTGTTCAAGACGTCAGCATTGAAGAACTGACAACGGCTCCTCCAACAGAGTCTACATATTTACTAAGTCCTTCTTCGGAAGTTATTCCTAGCATCATGACCCCTCTGGATGAAATCATGAGCCAATCCGAGGTTATTACTTCAAGTATATTGAAAGAGGAAACACAGCTGTTTCAACCAACTTCTACAACTTCAGTTATACAGGTGACCAGATGGGAGAATGTAGATATAACACCTCAACTCCGGGTATCTGACATTACAACTGTAAACACAACACCTTTACTTCAACCATCTGGTCTAGAGGTTGCAACTTCAGCCAATCATGAAAACAGTCTCAGCCAGGGGCAACAACAAGAACTGATTTCTTCTACAACTTCGGATCACTCCCACACGCCAGAAATTTCACAAAGAAGCCCAACTTTAACATCCAATGTTGAGAGTTCTGTGTTGTACACAAGGCCTGACACTCAGGTAATTGTAAAGTTAACAACTGGACCCTTTCCTCCCCTTTGGGGTGTCAGGCATTTAGTCCTAGACCTAAGTTTGTATAGACCAATCAGCTCTGGATTGTTCTGGGGCTAACTGCTCACCAGTTTTTCAAATTGGACAGTCAGAGACATTTCATTTCATTTACACTGGTACAGGAACGGAGCAAGTATGGGGAAACCCGACTGCAGTGAAGTTGAAGCCTCGACTAAGACCAATCATTACCTGGTCGGTGATGTAGTCAACATCCCTCTGTCCACATTTACTTAAAAAGATGCTTGTTAGGGTGTCATGGCTCTTTTTCTCCCCAAAGGGGGTCATGCCTCCTACAAACATACTTGTTAGGGTGGCATGGCTCATTTTCTCCCCAAAGGGGGTCATGCCTCCTACAAACATGCTTGTTAGGGTGTCATGGCTCTTTTCTCCCCACATGGGGTCATGCCTCCTACAAAGATGCTTGTTAGGGTGTCATGGCTCTTTTCTCCCCAAATGGGGCCCCAGAGGCCTCACAGGAAAGCCTGGCACAAAAAAAATGGTTAATTTTTTTGTTTTATCTTGTTTATTTTTGGAGTGGAAGTTGGAGAACAACTAAAGGCACAGAATAAAGTTAAATATATTCAAAAACAAATGCCTGAGGAAAAATCTGAACATAAAAAAGGGATGAATTGAAGGGAGTTGAAAAAAACTAAGAGAAATGTCCTGGTAGCCACTAGTGTCAATAGTCAAAAGACAAGGAAGATGGGGCTATGCTGGCACATTCTAAGAAGGGACAGGAAAACAAAAGGCACTGAAATTGGAAACTGAAGGAACAAGGAAGCAGGGACACCCAAAAGAAACCTTAAAATAAACACTGATGAAAGAAGCCAAAGCTGCTGGACTGGATTCCCTCCATGATATTTAACTTTTGCACAGAATAGAAAGGATTGGAGGAATAGAATGTGAGCCCTATTTGACATATATTGGCACAAACAGGATGATGAATTAAAAGTAAAGGTCCCTTTTCCACATCTTCAGACGTATTGGGCATATACAGATAGACCTAAATTTTATGGACCAATCACCTTTTTGTGGGTGACATGGTTAACATTACACCGGCCGCCTTTACTTTTCATGACTATATCTGATACCCACTCAAGGCTGGGTCGACCTGGGAGCCAAAGACATTTTTTTTTTTTTAATCGGCTCTGTTAGGACATGATCCCACAACCTTCTGATCCACGGGCAAGCATCTAGCAACTACACCATGGTGGCTGCCAAGAGGATAATAACGATTTCAATGTCGTGCACCTGTCAAGATAACAGTGAAACATAATAAATATCCCTGTGTGGGTTCCTGGACCCTTTTGTCGGGAAAACCACAATAGACCCACGGCCTGCCTAACATGAATGATGTAAGAGCTGACTGATTAGAGCTTTCTTCAACAACAGAGTGCATCTGCCTGAGAGGCAACAAACCAACAGTCTGCACACAAATAAGTCAGATCTGTAAAATTGATATGCACGCAACACTCAGGTTCTGGGACAAGTCTAAGATCTAGAGATATGGATGAACAGCCAGAACTTTCTGCTGGAATTAACAGCCAGCTAAGAAGAAGAAGAAGAAGAAGAAGAAGAAGAAGAAGAAAATGAAGAAGAAGAAGAAGAAGAAGAAGAAGAAGAAGAAGAAGAAGAAGAAGAAGAAGAAGAAGAAGAAGAAGAAGAAGAAGAAGAAGAAGAAGAAGAAGAAGAAGAAGAAGAAGAAGAAGAAGAAGAAGAAGAAGAAGAAGAAGAAGAAGAAGAAGAAGAAGAAGAAGAAGAAGAAGAAGAAGAAGAAGAAGAAAATGAAGAAGAAGATGAAGAAGAAGAAGAAGAAGAAGAAGAAGAAGAAGAAGAAGAAGAAGAAGAAGAAGAAGAAGAAGACAACGAGATAAAGAATGTGAAGAACCATTCTCAGGCCAGTATGAATTAGGCATATGGTGATAAACCCATCTATTTATAAATCAAAAGGCACACTTGATGGGAGATTTAGTCCTCACACTGACCACCTTTCACTTGCTAGAATATTCCTTTTCTTCTGCTTCTTCTTCATTTCCTCTTTTACCACCTAAGGTGTTGTGGGAAGGGGGGTGTTGCAAAGTTCTGCTTCTTGGTATTCTGGCCGCCTTAACCATAGACACATCGTGCTGTTGTAGGGTTTCTCGTGCGTTATCTTTTTATCTTGTTCTTAGTCTACCCTGTGATCTTCGTCCATCTCCTCTTGTGGTGTATGCCTTGTATGGTATGGCGCCACAAGGCATTATCACCAAGTGGACAAACCCTCTGACTTATCTTTGTGTGTAATTTAGAACTGGTTCCGTTCCGACTTTTTCTATTGTGACCTCATTCCTGATTTGATCTATTCTTATCACTCCTGCAGCCCTTCGTGGACATCTCATTTCCATGGTTACTAATCCTAGATCCTTTCCTGGTGCTTATTTTAGGATGGGTCCAGTAGTCCCGGTGATTTATTAAAACAAAATATGATGCACTGATTCGAACCAGAAGGGCTTTAAATTGGAACCCGCAAGGGTACAGAAATAAATGTAGACTAAAAAAAACAGATGGTAAAACGAACTAGAACATAAAGTTAAACAAGATGGGGAAGTCACAGGGAGAGCTGCACGCAACAGCAGAGGATAGAACCATGTGGCGTGAGTTGGCACTGGGCCTATGCTCCATTTGGGGATTAAAAGGCAGAAGAATAAGATTCAAACTCAAGACTTTCAGGGCTTCAGGCTAGTGTCTGCACACTAAATAACCACAGCGAAACATATCAGGTGAAAAGTTATACTATATCTGTTGTGTCTGTCTTCTGTGTCCAAATTTACAACAGGAAAACACTGACATAATGATCTAATTTCAGATGCCAGCAAACAGCGCTTCTTCTGAAGCATCATCCACATCCGGCAGTTATGCCTCAGCACATACTCCCAGCACAGCAGCACATTCCAACAGCATTCTCTCAACCACCAACATCAGCTCACAGATACCCAGCAGCATCACATCAACATTCACAGTCATCCCCACCAGTGACATCAAAATCATACCAGCCCTAAATAGTTTAACAAACGCCTCAGAAGATCTGAACCAGCAAAAACAATCCCATGAGATTAGCACTTCAGAGCCACCACCACTGACATCATCAAGCACATTTGCCTTGAGAACGACACTACCTGTGACTCATTTAGCTCTGTCCACCAGCAACCCTCCAACCGTCACATCAGCTCTTAACAATGCTCCCACAACCATCACACCATGTCCAATAGCAACGACCCTAGAACTGTCAACAACAGACAGCCTCACGCAGACCAGAACCCCACAGCTACCCACTTGGTCAGCCTCAAGGACGGAATCTTTATCAAGGTTAGTTAGTTGTGTATTCTTCACAAGACTTTGCAGAATAACCCTTTCATTTTAAGGCTGTTGTGGTTTTTATAGGCAAATTTTATGCTCAGTAGTTTGTTTAACAAAGTAACTAAACCCCAAAAAAATGCTTTGTTTATTTTCAATTGTATGTTATTTCTGCCGTAACTGTTGCAGTTACAGAGTAGTATGGTGGTGCCCTAACTAGAGTGGTATGGTGCTGTAGTCAATAGAGTGGTATGTGTGCAGTAGTGGCTGTTGTATGGGTGCTGGAGTAATCTGAATGATGTAGTAACAGTGTAGTATGGGTGCTGTAGTAATACAGTTGTCTTCTGTAGTATCACTGGTATGGGTGCTGTTTTAACAGAGTAGTACGGGTGCTGTATAATCAATGGTATGGGTGCTGTATTATCAGTGGTATGGGTGCTGTATTATCAATGGTATGGGTGCTGTATTATCAATGGTATGGGTGCAGTATAATCAATGGTATGGGTGCAGTATAATCAATGGTATGGGTGCTGTAGTAATACAGTTGTCTGCTGTAGTATCACTGGTATGGGTGCTGTTTTAACAGAGTAGTACGGGTGCTGTATTATTAATGGTATGGGTGCTGTATTATCAGTGGTATGGGTGCTGTATTATCAGTGGTATGGGTGCTGTATTATCAGTGGTATGGGTGCTGTATTATCATGGGGTGCTGTATTATCAGTGGTATGGGTGCTGTATTATCAGTGGTATGGGTGCTGTATTATCAGTGGTATGGGTGCTGTATTATCAGTGGTATGGGTGCTGTAGTATCAGTGGTACGGGTGCTGTATTATCAGTGGTATGGGTGCTGTAGTATCAGTGGTACGGGTGCTGTATTATCAGTGGTATGGGTGCTGTATTATCAGTGGAATGGGTGCTGTAGTATCAGTGGCATGGGTTCTGTAACAGAGTATTATGGGTGCTGTAGTAGCAGTAGTATGGGTACTTTTGTATTAATGGTATGGGTGCTGTAGTAACAGTAGTATCGGTGAGATGGGTGCTGTAGTAACAGTGTAGTATCAGTGTTATAGTAGCAGTTGTATGGGTACTGTGGTTACAGTAGTATGACTGCTGTAGTAATTTTGGTATGGGTACTGTAGTAATTGTGGAATGAGTACTGTAGTAATTGTGGTATGGGTATTGTAGTAATTGTGGTCTTGGTGCTGTAGTAACTGTGGTATGGGTGTTGCAGCAACATAGTAGTATGACTGCTGTAGTAACACAGTAGTAGATTTCTGTAGTATTAGTATGGGTGCTGTAGTCGCAGTGGTATGAGTGCTGAAACCACTGGAACTCTGCATTTGCTGCTAAAGATGTGGATAGAGTGCTTATGGGATAGTCCCTAGTGCTAGGATGTCAGTTCTTCCTAGTGCTAAGATATCAGTTCCTAACTCACCTAAACTCACAAGATTTGCCCAGGATAACATGGACTGGAGGGACTAGACTGCGAACTGTATGTGACGTATAATGACAAAACAAGATGATGATATTTATGTTGACATCTACATCAATGATTTCCCTAGCTCCTTTGGGGCTGTTTGATTTCATAACTCTTTTTTTTTCTTTTTCAGCATTCGAGGAAGTGAGTTTGTGAACGAAGAAGTATACACTGGCATCACTTCAGTGACCGGAAATACCGCAGTCCCTGTCATTACATGGGCAGTTCCTGACATGACAATGGCAGTTCCTGACACGACACAGATAGCTCCTTCCCCAACACAGACAGTTTGTGACTCAAAACAAGCACTATCTGATGACTCAAACGGCACTGACTCTAACAGCCACAGTAAAGGTGATTCAAGAAAACCTGCAGCGAAGCCCGATAACCGACTACCAACCTTCTCCAGCTCTACAGACATGAAACTGAGAGCGATCATTATTACAGTTTCCACAACACTTTTGGCTCTAATTATCGGTCTTTTCATCGCAATTATCATCATAAAATACCGCAAAAAACACAAGCACGTCTCTTTTGATGACAAAACAACAAACATCACAGATGTTCAGACAGAAACATCAGACACCGTGTTTATTATCAGTCACATGGAAGGAGGTCACAACTTGAACTCTGACACGGCTTGGGATGGTAAAACAAGTACTTCTTCCCCAAAAGACACATCAAAGGTAGAGAACGGCAGCAAACTGACAAAGAAAAGCTTAAAGTTCAGCAGACAATCTGTCTCTGCGGTTATTTCCAAGACTAAGTTTGACTGCATCAAAGGTCAAACAGAGGATGATTCAGAACTACTTATGTATTCTTGGACATGAAGTGTAGAGCTCTTCACAACGAAGGTTGCCCGACAACAAGTGAAGTGAGGTTACTTGACAAAATGTAAACAACTCATGCAGTATCCGTTCACAGGAGAATGTTGATTAGTTTCAGGCAACAATGGATTAAGTTTTATATTTCTCCAGCTATCCTTGACTTATGACCTTTATAACTTACGACCCCAAAAGTTAATAAATAAAAACAGGAAGTAAGGAAAGATAACTCCACTGATAGGGCCAAAAAGTCTGGAACTGATGCTGCAGAGCAGGACTGTTCAACTAAGTTAACCCAGGGGGCAGATCGTCACAGGCCAAGCCCCAGAACAGAAAGATAACTGAGTTGAGTTGAGAACTGACATCACAGCACTCTGTGCATTCCCATGTGTGCTCCGTCCTCATCTTCAGCAGCCAGCACAGATTTCCAATACTGATAGTACTGGTCACCATCTGGTTATATGTCCATCTTCCCTTTCCTCTCAGTGTAGTGAGCCGGCCAGATCCTCTGGTTACACCCAAGTGCCTCATTCTCTAAAGGCCACAATAATCTTCTTTCTCTACTGATTCCATTGCTTGTTCCCAAAGGGCATGGCCTGAAGAGAAGATCCAAACTATGCACTCTACCCGTGACCTTCCCAGTGAAGCTTGCCACTCTGCTCGAAGCAGACAATGATTATTACAGTACAGTACAACTGGCAGTAATCCACGGGCCACTTGCTAGGCCTCCAAGGGCCAGATTTGGCCTGCTAGCTGCCAGTTGAATAGCTAAAGTATATATTATATATATTTCACTTTATGTTAAAAAAATTATATAGATTTAATGTTTGTGTTTTATGTTCAATTTTTATCATCATTATCATGTAGCAGGTCCTTTACAGAACATCGCTCTTATCACGGTCTGCCTGAAAGAAACTCGGTCTCTCGCCAGCTCTCCCACCTCATGTCCTTTCATACTCAAGGAGTCCCTTATATCCTGTGCCCATCTTCATGCTGGTCAGCCCCTGCCCCTCATTCCTGGTACATGCCTTCTGCTATAGTTTTTTCCAATACTTTGTGGCGCTTGATATGACCAATATATTTCAGCTTCCGAGACAGGATGTTCAGATCTTTCAAGATGTCAGTATTTCTCCTCTTCTTTGTCCAAGATATTCTGAAAATCTTTCTATAGCATTTCAGTTCAAAAACCCCTATTCTCTTTTTTAAGAGTCAATTTGTATAGCCGGTTTAAATGAAAAGAGTGTCAAAAATAAATATTTAATCTTGAACCAGTTTGGCTTACGACCCGTTAGTTCGGACTGGAATTCTGCTGAAGCAGAGAAGACATGTACTCATCGCCATCACCCAATGCCTTCTTGACTTACATAGGTGATCATACTTCTCCAAAGCCTGCGTTCTCTAACAGTATGTATCAGTTCATATGGTGGGCACCTCATGTCGTGGCAAACAGACATTCAGAAGTCTTCTCGCTGTTTCTTGCTCTGTCCCTCTTTCCATATACCTTTCCTGCTGTCACATAATCCAGTATGTATCAGTTCATATGGTGGGCACCTCATGTCGTGGCAAACAGACATTCAGAAGTCTTCTCGCTGTATCTTGCTCTGTCCCTCTTTCCATATATCTTTCCTGCTGTCACATAATCCAGTATGTATCAGTTCATTTAGCCGACACCTCCATGCCATGACAAACAGATATTCAGAAGTCTTCTCGCTGTATCTTGCTCTGTCCCTCTTTCCATATATCTTTCCTGCTGTCACATAATCCAGTATGTATCAGTTCATTTAGCCGACACCTCCATGGCTTGAAAAACACATGCATGGAAATCTCTGGGTTTTTTTCCCTCTCGCTTTTCTTCCATAAATCTTCCCGGCTGTTCTATAGTCCAGCTTTTTCTTTCCTAAAAATTGTGACCAAAAAACTTACGATAGCATTTTTCTGATGCCCATGATAAGACTACATCACATCAAACACATTTTTTTGGGGGGGGGGGGGGGGGGGGGGGGGGGGGGGGGTAAAGTATGTTTGAATTTTTTTTTTTTTTTTGTTGGGGGGGGGGGGGGGGGGGGGGAGGGGATCAAATGGTAAAATTGTTAGGGTGCTAAACCCATAAATCAAATATGTGGGTTTAGATCCTTGGTCAGGCAACATATTTTGATTCATTATATGTTAAATGCAAATCATGAACTGTATAAAAAAAATGTAGGTACTTTTCTTCAAGTTCACCCCATCTCATGGATTCAGACATTTCATGGCAAGTTCCCAGAAAAGCCTAATTAGGGAGGGGGGGGAGGCTCCAGGTGTGTGAGGTAATGATCAGGCTGATAGATTTACTGCTGCTGCTCCTCTGGCGATAAGCTACTATATGATAAAGCAGATGTGATGAAAGCTCTGAGGGATCAAATTGTCAGTGCAAAAGAACAGACAAGGAATCCATACACTGAAAGACTAAATTCAACACAGGGTGTGTAAAAGTTCTGCAAGATATTCATCATTGAAGGGGGAAAAAAAGCAGACTTTTAATCAGATTGCAACTGCTACTGTCAGCATGTCAGCTCTTGGTTGGTTACTGAAGAAGGGGACGGAGCACCTGTGGGAATGTCCCGAGTGCAGTGATGTCAATTCTTGATTCATTCATTCCATGGCAAACTCATTTAGACATACTGGGTTCATGTGTGTCACCACTAGAGCTGCGGAGCCTAGTCCTTTGTGCACACCTTTAGCTTTTTCAGTTTCGAGCAAAGTTTAATGTGTGATTCACTGCTTTTCATGACCAATTCATTCACAAAATAACTTTTATATCGATAAATATCTTTTAACTGTTTTGTAAATAAGTAAATATATGAAAGTCAATTATCACCGTTGAGTTTTTGTCCCTTTTCTAACTTATCCTATTTAATGAAGAAAAGCTGTGGTGGCACAATGGCTAAAAAAAAGTGGCCGGCCGAATGGTTGAGAAGCTTGGCTCTCATGTGGGAGCCCCAGGTTTGAATACTCGATAAGGCTGTGGATTTTTTTCTGTTCGGGGGTGGGGGGGGGGGAAGGCTGCGTAGTCTCGAGGCATGAGGCTCTGGGTTCCATGCCCGGTAAGGGCTAGGATTTTTTCACGTGGACTTGGACTTCTAGTAATTCCCACTGGTCTCTGGGTAGTGTGATCAGACGCCCGTGTGCATTGTTGCACAGGTAAAAAAAAAATCCTTTGGCAGTTAAAAATCAAAAAGAGCAGCCTAAAAGTGCTGCCTGGGCAAAATTTGGAGTTAAAAGTCTACCCAAAGTATTCCAGGATACTCACTGGTGCTACAGAGCCTGTGCACTGTGCTGAGCTTCTTCAGATTTAGACTTGAGACAAAAAAACGCAGCATTTATGGGTTACATCCGTGTGCCATGATGTTGATCCATTGTTCAAAACCTCAAAAACTTAAAACGTCATTTGAGTGGGGGCACACACACACACAAAATCCTAGCCTGCACAGTCTGTGGCGACAGCACTGGCCCCGCAGAGCTTATCATAAGACTCAAAGACCCTACACTAGCCACAAAAGTTGTAAATACAGAAAGTAACAGCAAGTATTATGGTTAGTTCGCTCGACTGTCAAAATAAAGGTTCAGGTTCAATCTACAGAAGAGTTTGAATTCTTCAAGGATACACAAGCAGTTACACAGATGCAATCATTCACCACAGCACATGATGATGGCGATAGTGACGACGATGATAGCATGATGTCATTACTACCACCATCATTATCATCACTTTCATCATCAACACTATCATCATCATTACTACCATCATCATCATTATCATCTTCATCATCATCATTACCACTATCATCCTCATCACTCAAAGGTAAGTTGCGTATCCTTTACAGGGCGTTGCAGAACCAACCCCAGCAGCCCCTGGATGTTGTGTGGTTTCTCTAGGCAAATTTACGTCCAATAGTTTGCCATTGCTTTCTAGACGGTGGGCCCCCTGATACCACTGTCGAAACCAACACGAGGCATATGGCCTGCAGCTGGGATCGAACCAGGTACCCCGACATTACAAAGCATTCGCATCGACTTAGCCACAGAGCCGATTCATCCTCTCTACCACCATCATTATCATCACTACCATCATCGACATTACTGTCATCATCATCACTATCATCATCATCACTACCATCAAACCGCTTCCATGGTGCGTTCTATCACCACTGACTCTGTCTTCATAGTGTTTATTCTCATATTATATTCCTCCTCTTTGTATGTACTTTGATTTAGGTCGTTCAAACCTGCATTGAGCCTTGGAAATGTAGATATCCAGAAGGGGAAAAAGCTGGTATTTCATGAGAACAAAAAAAAAAAAAAACACTGATACGAATGTTCCAAAAGCTACACAAACTTACCATTCAGGTTCACCATGAAGATTTCCTGCAGAGAACTGAGTTCCTCCTCGACACTCATATTCTCTGAGCCAAACTCATCTCTCTCGGGCCAGACTTCTCGGGCTGCATGGAACAATGAGACTGCTTCCACGAGATTCCTTCCTCGCAAACAAGACTGGATTCTCAGCATGGCTGTGATCCTGCAAGCAAATTTATGATGATGATGATGTAACTATAAAAACAAACAAAACAATTCATTGTACAATTTATTGCCTGGTATGTTTTGATGTCAAGTAAAGGATTCCTTGTCCACCCCTTCAGGCGTTTTGGGCATTCAGGGCTAGACCTATATTTTAAACAGCAATCAGCACTCAGTGGGTGATGTGGTCAACACTCACACCGGACACCTTTATTTCCCATGTCTTTACCTGGTGCCCACTTAAGGCTGGCATGACCTGGACGCCAAAATCACTGAAAAAATCCGGCTCCGTCAGAAACTGAACACACCCACCTTCAGATCCACAGTGAATGTGTTTACTGTATACAACATAAAATGTGACTAGAAAGCTGAACGGAAGGAATGGAAAAGATGCACATAATTTACTCATATTTATGCTATCTTACATTTTATCTTTAACACTACTTATC